TGATAGAGACCTGCAAGTTGGAATGGACACAGTGGCAGTGGGCAGGCTATTTTTTTCTGTAATATTCTCCAGAAACACATAATAACCCAGTTATTTTCATTCAAATACAAAGTCAGACTTTTCTCAGACATAAAAACAAGTCCAATTTGGCTTCCTAATTTGACAAGAATAAGATTTGCCAATTTGATTATTTGTCCAATCTTTTCATTAACTGAATGAGCTAGCTCTGCAAGGTTTTGACAACATATGTAAACCATGTGTTAAAAAATCATTTAAAAAGGTATTATACTGAAAATGTGTAGTGAATAAACATTTCTATTTTTCCAATACTTTTTGAGAACATCAAGAGACCAGAGACAATATCTCTATATGAAAAGGCACCAATTAGTAATCACTTGTGGAGTCTTGATAAAACCATTTTGCTGTATATTTGAACATTGAGAAAACAAATGACTCGAATAATGAGTAAAAAAACATCTTTTTACAAATCAGATCATTTCCTTGTCTGTCCTTTCAGCAAAATTAAAAGAATTGTCATATGAGAAACAATTAAAATGTGTCTTTTATTTATGAATACGTATCTTGTAGGGCTTTTTTCAAACTACTGGGAAAAGCTTAAAGGAATGAAGTGGCATTGCAGTAACCAGGTTCCATTTATTCCCTTCTACTTCTATAAGATTTCTCAAAACTTGCATTTACTAAAAGTAAAAAAAATAAGGTTAAACAACAATTTTCTTCTTGTCTCATTCTAGCAAAATGCAGTATGCATTCATAGATCCACAAACTAAGAGGAAAAGTCATTCCTATTCATTTCATTCAATGTCTGAGAACATTTCTATCCATAAGGTTTTCAGTGGCTCATTCCTCAAAATTGGACAGCCTATCCCTTCCTTGTAGTCTGTCCTTACTCTTCAAACTCTTCTAAAACCTGTTTACTTTAGGTGACTCTGCTGGCATCTTAAATACCTGTGGTTTAGCTTCCAACATTACAACAACATACGAGCCACCACAATTCAATAAAGGATTTCATCTTGCTTGGATACACCATCAATACTCATGAGCACAGCAGTCAATAAATCAAAAGACATTTTCCATTAGGTCAATCTGCTGCACAAGATCTCTTTTGGAGTACTGAAAAACAAAGATGTTATTTTGGGGACTAAGGTGCGCCTCATCCAAGCCATGGTATTTTCTTTTGCCTTATATGCATGTGAAAGTTGGGCATAGAGAAGACTCAGTGCATTTGTATTGTGGTGGTAGAGATGAATATTGAAAGTATCATGGACTGTTAAAAGGACAAACAAATCTGACTTGGAAGAAGTGAGACCAGAGGGCTCCTGAGAGACAAGAATGGCAAGACTTCAACTTTCATACAGCGGACATGCTAGGAGCGATCAGTCCCTGTAGAAGGACATCATGTTGGTAAAGTGGAGGGGCAGCGAAAAAGAGGAGGCCCTCTGGGAGATGAACTGACACTATGACTGCAACAACGGGCTCGGGCAGGGAGCAATTGTGAGGATAGCACAGCACTGGGCAGTGGTTCATTCGTCGTTCATTGGGTCACTATGGCTTGGAACGGACTCGGTGGTACCTAACAAGAACAACATCTACTTTATTATCTAGTTACCGTATATAAAATTTCATTTTAGCTATTCCACAGACACGTTGCTTTTGTTAGGTGTCATGGAATCAGTGACCCTATGTACAACATAGAAGCCCTGGTGGCATAGAGGTTAAGCATTAGGCTGTTAACCTCGAATCAGCAGTTTGAAACAACCAAGAGCTCCTGAGGAGAAAGAAAGGCCTTAAAGCCTGTAAAGAGTTATAGTCTCAGAAACCCACAGGGGCAGTTCTACACTGTCCTATAGGGTCACTGTGCGTCAGAATCCCCTCAGTGGCGTGAGTTTGGTTGGGGTTTATATATAATAGAAGGAAACACTGCCTGGTCCTGTGCCACCCCCAGTTGCTGTGTGAGCTCGCTGTTGCCACCAGTGTCACTCCATTTCATTGAGAGTCTTCTTCTTTTTTCTGATCTTCTCCAGGGACTGGGCTCTCCTGATAACATGTCCAAAGTATGTGAGATGGCATCTTGTCATCTTTGTTTCTCAGAAGCATTCTGGTTGTATTTCTTCCAAGTCAGATTTATTTGTTCCAAGAGTATAACTCAATATCATCATTCAAATGCATCCATTCTTCTGTGGTCCTCCTTATTCACTCCCAACTTCTGCACGCATGTAAGTGAGTGAAAGTACCATGGTTTGGGTCCCCTTAGCCCTCAATCTTTGCTCCGTAACACTTTCAACGGCTCTTTTGCAGCAGATTTGCTCAGTGCAGTGCCTCAAAGAAATTGCATTGCAGACTTGGTTCCAGATCACTGCAATACAGTGATATCACAAACGAGAAACCCACACGGATTTCCCCCCAGTGCATATAAAAGACAGCAACTGGCTTAATAGCTTCCTAGGGGCATGGCAGGCAAGGTTGGTGGGTTAGGAGGAGTTAACAGCAATGAGTACAAGGAAGAAGATACATCCTAAATGGTTTGTGGTGATGATTACACAACTCTTCTACATAGAGTTTAACTGTTAAAAGGAAAGATGTGTGAACTATCGGTCAATAAAATCATTCTTTAAAAGTTATGCTTACATGATATACCGTAGTGTACTAAGTGTGCAGTAGCATTATTAAAATTTTGGAATACTGTGAGAATCACCAATATGGAACAGAGAGATAGCATGGGAACACATGCTGTTGGCAAAATGATGCTGATAGACTTGCTAGATACGGGGTTGTCACAAACCTTCAGTTAATAAAAAAACACAATCTCTGTAATGTGGAAGAAAACTAGGTATGCCTGAAATAACTTTTCAATATTTATAACATATTTATAAGTAATACCTCACTTGCGTGCACCCTGCAGATAACGTTATGGGTTAGAACCACTGCGGTAGCACCTAAGAACAACAACGTAACATGCTGTTTTAAACAGTGATTGCCAGTAAGACTTTACATCATTTAGAAGGGCAATTTTGCACACTTAGAATCATATGGCCATAGAAAACTTTAGTTTAGACTCATGTTTTGTAATAGAGAGGTAGTATGAGGTTTTCAAGAGAATTCTTAAGTATACAATTCTATTGCATTTAAAATCTGTGAAGAAGTAAAAAAGAAAAGGGAGTCCCAGGAGAAAAAGAAAACAAGAATTCAAGATTGTTAAAGAGCTTGCTCGTGTATTTTAAATGGAAGATTGTGGCTATCACATTGCCAGAGCCCAGTTACTTCCATTTGAATAGATACATCTGAAATCATGAGACAGCATTTTAAAAAATGTTAGTGCTAACAATACACTAGAAATTACATCCTTTGCAACTATTTAAATTTGTGATGAATATTTTAATGTAGATTTAAAAATATATGCTGGGGGAAGGTATATGGTTTTCCAAAATGCTTTTGAGAAAAAGGGCCAAGAAACTGTGAAGACCTCAGACTTTCAAGCATAGTTGAAAATCACTGAGGGGTCACTTCCATTCACTTATATATAATTCATATAATTCCCACTCATTTATATAGAAATTCCAGTCATCTACAAAGGACTGCAATGTCTTTCCTCTGTGAAATATACCTTTTCCTCCCCTCCTGGGGCAAGTATTTATTTTTTCAATATGGGAAGGGCTGTGATATAGGTTGAATTTATATGTCCGTTGAACTAAATGAATTTAAGTTGATTATGCTGGGTGGGAATTTGGACACAGGTAGTTTGGCTCTAGCGTCCACGTCCTTGACCACCATGTTGTGTCTCCCACAATTTCATATACAAGGTCTTTGGTGATAGGATCTCTGCTATCAATCCTCTCTCTAGCTCGACCATAGAAGTCACTTTCATGAATTGCATCCCCCAGCCTTAATCCCAGCCTCTCAGTGTTCTCTAGCTCTCTAAGATGACCCACTCTAACCACTCTTGAGATCTCAGCTCAGTTAATATTTACCCACTTCAGGAGGATATCCCAGACTCCTCTGCTCGTCACCTCCCAAAAGCAAAAGGAAACAACCCAAACACTGAGTGAGCTGTCCTTCCCAGTATTCCCAGCACTCTCTCCCTACTTCTCCCTCTCACTTCACTGTGGCGCAGAGATGGACTACACTTGCCCCTCCCACCTGCTCTGTAATCGAATTGGACTATTAGCACCTGGAGAGGAAAGAGCCCTTTCGTGACCTGCATAGCCTCAGTCTCTCCAGCATATACTAGACACCTAGCAAGTATCTGCTGAGTGAGGGTTATGTTGTTGTTAAGGATTCCTGGTGGCACAGTGGATAAAGCATTGGGCCACTAAATGGAAAGTTGGCAGTTCAAGCCCACCAGCTGCTCTACAGCAGAAAAATGTTATGCCTCCCAAATCCTGTGGGTGCAATTCTACTCTGCCAGAAGAACAAACAAATCTGTCTTGGGAAAAGTACAGCCAGAATGCTCCTGGAATTGAGGATGGCCAGATGTTGTCTTACATACTTTGGGCATGTTGACAGGAGGGGCCAGTCACTGGAAAAGAACATCATGCTTGTTAAAGTAAAGGGTCAGGGAAAAAGAGAAAGACCCTCAACGAGATGGACTGGTACAGCGACTTCAACAATATGCTCAAATATGACAATGGTGAGGATGGAGCAGGGCCAGGAAGGGTTTCATTCTATTGTCAGAGGGTCACGATGAGTCAGAAACAACTCGATGGCACCAAACCACATACGGTCATTATGGATCAAAATCAACTCAATGGCAGTGCGTAGTGTTGCTGTAGATGTGTGTCACTGAATTGACTCCAACTCACAGAAGAGTAGAACTGTCCCACAGGCTGTAAACCTTCCCAGAAACAGAACGCCAGGTCTTTATCCCGTGGAACCACTGGATGAGCCCAAACCATGAACCTTTACAGTTAGCAGTCAAGTGCTTAAACACTGCACCATCAAGGCCCTTATTAGGGTGAAATGTATTCATATTTACAATGATCTACCTTTCCCCTCAGTATTCGATTCTTCCCATCTTCAAGTAGGACAGCAGACTTAACACTGGGTTTGCTCAGAACTGCAACAGCTTTTAAAAGAAAACAAAAAGAAAAATGCAGCTTAGAGACACATTGAGATCTAAGTTATCTAACTTAAAACAATGTAATAAAAATTCACAAACAAATACTATTACAAGTAATCATTTATATAAAATACCTTCAAAATAATTAGACGTAGATCTGTGAAATCCTGCAATGTGTATGAAAAATTATTACTTGGATTTTGCATTTGAATACTCCATTGAACCCAAGGACAACCTCCTACAGAAATCTTAGAATTATCAAAGGTTTCAGAAAACTCTTAGACCAAATAACATTGCAATTGCAAAACTAGAGGTTTGGTAAAATATGAGAGGGCTTCAAAAGTATATGGATTTAAAAGTTAATGAAATCTGCCCAGGAACTTTCTGAAGCCCACTCATATAATCATCTAAGTGAGATTTTGCTTTGCTTGGAATAAACCTGAGCTGAGCAACAAGAGAAGGAAGCAGGATTCAGCCCCAGACAAGTCTGACTCTGGAGTCTTTGTGTGCTCACCCACTCTGACATAAGCTCCCTTAATTGTAGCAAGAATAACCAAAAAATGCAAATGGGAAAATGTTTATTAACAATAGAAGAAATTTTAACCAAAGCAAATTCACTACTATCAAGTCAATTCTGACTCATGGTGACCCTATAGGAGAGAATAGCCTCCCATGTGGATTTCCAAGACTAAATTATTACAGTAGTAGTTGCCTCATCTTTCTCCCACATAGGCGCTGCTGGTTTTGAAACTGCTGACCCTGAAGTTAGCAGCTGAATGCAGAACCCACGATGCCCAAAGAAAGGGCCACTGCTATCATGTCAGTTCTAACTCATAACAACCCTGTGGGACAGAGAATTGCTCCCTAGTGTCTGAGACTTAATGAATTTTGTTTTGTTTTTGACTTGATGAAATTTTTACAGAAGCATACATTTCTCCTGTGGAGTAGCTAGGGTGTTTGAACTACCAACCATGCAGTTAACAGTCCAATACTTAATCCAAGCTACCACTAATGATCCTTAACCATAAAGGCACAAGGCTCTAAATGAGGGAAAAGCTAAGTTAATATGAAATGGCATACAAGAGCTGAACAAAAATAAGTTTAATGACATTCTAATTAGACCCTGAAGGGTTCTTTTAATTTAATAAGATAATTTCAAAATATCTATGAAAAGTCAAATAGGCAAGATATGTAAGTTTTGAAAAATAAAAGACTTGCCTTACCACATTATCAGAACATTTTCTAAATCACTATAATATAATACACATGGTATTTGAATAGGAATATGTTAAAGATCCCCAGAACAGGGCAGACAATACAGAAACAGGCCTGATAAGACTTTAATACACAGCAAAGAATGGCATTTTATCTTTGAAATCAATTATCCTTTGAAAACAGCCAGTTAATAAACAGGGCTGGAATAATGACCACCGCATCTGGAAGACAAGAACGTACTGGAAGAAATTTGGGGGGCCAAAAATGACAGAGAATGGATGTTGATACTATGACAATAAAGGACTATATATATACAGAAAATGACAGGAAGACAATACACAAAAGAAGAGCAAATCCAAACAAGAAACATACAACCTAATACTCAGACATAATACTTGTCAGAAGAGTACAGAATACTTACAATTGAAAATGTAGAGAAAGAGCAGTCTCATGAATTGATAGTTAAAATAGGAATTGTTAGAATTTTGTGCCTAGCACAGTCAAGGCTTCGTAAAAATAAAAACATAAGATTTCAAAACAAGTTTGTTGATAAACTCCATGATCTTTTACTTCTATCTTTTTTTTTTTTTTTTTTTGCCACCAAGTTTTATTGGAAGTTCTGGGGGAAGAGCTGGGATTAAGGGTCCCACCCCTTGGTACCGGGGACTCTGCAGGAGGGCAGGAAGCCCAGGACTCAGAGGGCCCTGGTGATGGGCAGGTCCTTGTAGTGAGTATCCTGGCCCTCGAGCAGGCTGCAACAGGTGGCGATCTCCTGCTCCAGCCGCGACTTGATGCCCAAGAGCAGCTGGTACTCCTGGTTCTGTCGCTCCATGTCGGAGCGCACTTCACTCAGCTGGGCCTCCATGCTACTGACCATCGCCTGGATCTGCGCCAGATGGGCTCCAAAGCGCCTCCATCTCCGCCAGGGTGCCTTCCAGGGCGGCTTTCATGCTCAGCCGTGACTGCAGCTCAATCTCATGGCTCTGGAGCGTCCGCCGCGGGTCAGTTACCTCCGTCTTGCTGACCCGGGGCTTCTCTGTGTGGACATCGACCTCCAGCTTCAGCTCCTCAGTCCGCCTGATGAACCATGCTTCAGCATCCTTCCGGTTCTTCTCGGCCATGAGCTCATCCTGGCTCCTCATGTCATTCTGGATCTTGGCCAGGTCGATGCCTGGTGTCGAATCCACCTCCACGCTGACTTGGCCCCCCACCTGGGCCTTCAGGACACTGATTTCCTCCTCGTGGTTCTTCTTCAGGAAGGCCAGCTCCTCCTTCAACCCTTCGCTCTGCATCTCCAGGTCGGCGCAGGCCAGCGTCAGCTCGTCCAGCACCCGGCGCAGCCCGTTGATGTCCGCCTCCACGCTCACGCCAGGGCCTGCTCCGTCTCGAACTTGATGCGGAAGTCATCCGCCGCCAGGCGGGCGTTGTCGATCTGCAGCACAACCTTGGAGTTCTGGATGGTGGCACCGAGAATCTGGTGCCGCAGGTCCTCGATGGTCTCGTAGTAGTGGCTGTAGTCGCGGGCGGGCCCGGGCCCTGCTTCTGGTACTAGTCGCGATCTTCACCTCCAGGTCAGTGTTGGCCTCCTCCAGGGCGCGCACCTTGTCCAGGTAGGAGGCCAGGCGGTCATTGAGGTTCTGCATGGTGATCTTCTCGTTCCCGGAGAGGAGGCCGTCGGACGTGGACAGGACGCCC